CCCCAAAACCCCAAAACCCCAAAACCCCAAAACCCCATCAACATGGGAAATATTATAAGTTTAAAATTCTGCTCGAAAATGGATAATAATGTACCGTATAACCCAATGGTGGAAGAGAAAGATATTGAGTAAGTTAGGATGATCAATAATAGGATGAGAGACCACCAACCTCCACCTAGTTACCCTCAAACACAGGGTACAACCCCTGGAAATGGGATGTACTCAGGTAATGCTCCTCCCACAGGGGTTGTAGTCAGAGGAACTGTTGTGGGGCAGCCCCAATTCCCACCAAATAGGGTATGTTATTAATCTAATGCTATAGCATCAGCAAGCAGCTGCTGCTTATGATCTCATTAGGGCTGAAAATAGCCGGAATAACTGGAAGACAATTATCTATATCGGATCTTTTGGTTTGATAATTTTAGGATCTTTGACTATCATTGGGAACATCTTTGGAATCATCGGTGATATGCTCACAAACGAGAAGCACTCAGTACACTACACAAAGACAGATTCAATGACATCAGCTGATTTCTTAGGAATCGGTGGATTCTTTATTGACTTACTAGAAATTGGTCGAGGAATTTTGATAGCATTTCAGGGATACCTTGGCTACAAGACTACTGTGACTAATACTGCTTTGGCCGCACAAAGCCTTATCAAAAAGAGCTTCTGGCTTTTGACAGTTAATTTGGCACTGATTCTCATCCAAATGATCATTGGGACTGTATCAATTTCAAAAGATAAAAGGTAAGCTATACCTTCAGAGGTCTAGGTATAATTCTGCCGAAGAAGATGAGACATATGGTTTTTTTGAGGTTGATGATATCTACGAGATCGCAATGTCAATAGTCATAGCAACCTTCTTCTTTACCTGTTGCTGCACTCTTTGATGTTGTGGGGTTGTCATTGGAGGCTATCATATGTACAAACAGTCTCATGAGACATATGACAAACTTAGTGTGATGGGGATGGCAACTCCTTATCATACTGGATAAATTTGGCTTAATTGGAAGATTTATCAGTTCGGTTTTCTCCATTACTCTCCTTGCTCGAAACTTTCCTCAAGACTGGTCTAAATAGATCCTTGAAGAGAGCAAAGTCTTGGTTGTGTCAACTACATCTTCGAGTCAAAGCGCAGCCAAGAGTGGGGAAGAATTACTGACCAGATAATCCTTGTCTTAAGATCAATGTTAATTGTTCTCCAAAATTGAGGTGCATTCCATTCTGGCTTAGGGTGCTCTTCCCTCTGTTGGTTTCAATTTTTAGGCCTAGTAAGGGGTTTTGGGGTTTTGGGGTTTTGGGGTTTTGGGG